TAGCCATAGAGCGAAATGCCCATCTCAAGCCGAATAGCGTCAAGAAGGTGAACCAACTTCTTAGAGTTAAAGGGGATTTCGCGCAACAGTAATCCCTGTTTCACACTGAACGCCTTTCAATGTCCCCTCCCTGCTCCTTTTTCAACTCCAAGGCGCGCATGATTCTTCTCTCGCTTATTTCTGAATTTGGAAGTAAGTATAAAGTTGTCTGAATTTTGAGTACTCAAATTATGCATTTCAGATGATCCACTCATGCCCAGAGCGGTTGATATCGATTTTCTATACGGTTGAAGAGACTTTTGGACAGGACACCGTGAAAAACATTTTAAGACATGTCAGTTCTCCTCACTTTTAATGTAATTCAGCGGTCTTCTCCTCACAGAGCATAAGATATTTCAAATTCAAACGAAACTTCCAGATGTTCCGCAATTATGCGTACTCTGCTGTCACCGTTGCCGACTGGCAACGAGCTGCAGTCGAAGTCACCGGAAATGAAAATGCCGGTAAGTTCTGTGAAGCTTCACAAAAACTTAGCTAATGGGCGGGGCCAAAATTCCTATGTTATAGATGAGCTTTGTTTCAGGAAAGATGTTGGAGGAGTGGTTTTCACGGAAAACCCGGCCAGTCATAAAAATGACCGTTACAACGCGAGCGATTCAATTTGAGGTGAGTTCTAACATTGTGAATAGCAGAGCGCGCCGTGGACATGACAAGGCCCAATGGGGAGTCAAGAAACAATTGCAAGGAAATGATATCTATCCATAGAATCTTGCAGTCACCACTGTACTTAAAGTCAATTCATTCACGAATGCCTCCGTTGTTCGCTTGTCCCGTGGAACGCTTAGCCATCCCCAGGGTATAGAACACGGGTGTGTGCAGTGTTGGGACCCTTATGATATCACGGGCCGATGGCCTAGGGGGAGGGGCGGTGGGCATTCTGCACTTTCGCCAGCTTCCTCTGCTGGTTCCTCTTGAGCTACATGTCTCACCTTGGTGAGACTTGTATACTCTTGTCAAGTGTAAACAAGGCCCTTGTTGTAGCGTAGCCTCACAGGAATTCACAGGCTTTAACAAGAGGCATCGGCAGTGAGCGAGGGGAGCCGACGAAGTGCCCTGCTGGCATATTCCACGATAAGCGGATGGGCGGAGAAACTGGCCGAAATTTTTGAACACTGCGACCCTACTGGTGCTCCTATCGTTTTAATACGATAGAAAAGTGAAGCGCATGGTCGTGAGTCCCCTCCCGTTTGATAAGCGCGATGTGTCCTCCAATAGCCATTATTTCAGTCAAAAGGATTACGATGTCGGTCAAGGGTATCCCAGGCCGGTGCGGAAAACGATGCTGCGAAGCGGAGCGTGCGCTGCATTCGCTCCATGAACCTACTGATTTGATGCAAAAGCGTTACAGCAAATCGAGTCAAATCTCACTGATATTCTAGCAAATGACTGACGACCTCTGGACTGTCCCGTTGGAAATCGCCGGTTCGTCAGGTATACAACTGGTCGCAGTCACAGAAAAATCAACTCTTCTACCGTATATCTCGAATGATTACGTTATTGCTGATCCGCGAAGGAAATCCACTGCCATGGTTGTGTATGATGTAAGTTTCAAAGCATTCTTTCAGCCTATCTTTCAAGTCTGACCTATCTACAATGGCAGAAACCACTCGGCTATGGACAGGTCGGTCATGTGGCCAGTGACCGGTAATTA